TCTGTTTTAGCCTTTCATAAAATATATAATTGGTGTTGTAAACTATAATCACCTTATTGTGCTGTAGGAAACTAGAACTTATTCCACCAATGTCATTGTATTCTGGTGCCTGTTATCCAAACTCCCCCTATTCTGGCAACCTCTTTACCTTTCCTAGTCTTTAATAACCACTATTCTACTTTGAGATCAACTTTTTAACCTTCAACAGATGGGAGAAAACAGATGCTATCTGCCTACCTGTGCCTGGCTTATTTCACTTAACATAATCTCACCAGTTGCATTCATGTTGTCACAAATATCAGGATTTCATTCTAGTTTTGTGACTGAAAAATATTTCAACATGTACCACATTTACTTTATCCATTCATCTTCTGCATTTTGGTAGATCCATATCTTGGCTAATGTGAGTAGTGTTGCAATAAACCATGGGAATGCAAGTATTTTTTTGATATGCTGATTTCATTTCCTTTGGATATACACCTCAAAGTGGCATAGATAGATCATACAATAGACTTCTTTTCAGTTTTTTTGAATTTTTTAATATTTATTTTTCAGTTTTCTGTGGACACAACATCTTTATTTTATTTTTATGTGGTGCTGAGGATGGAACCCAGTGCCCCGAGCATGCTTGGCAAGCGTGCTACCGCTTGAGCCACATCCCCAGCCCCTCTTTTCAGTTTTTTTAAAAATTATTTTTATTGAAAAAATTATTTTTATTGGGCTGAGGCTGTAGCTCAGTGACAGAGCACTTGCCTAGCATGTGTGAGGCACTGGGTTTGATCCTTAGCACCATATAAAGATAAAACAAAGGGGCACTTGCTTAGCACATGCAAGGCCCTGGGTTTGATTCTCAGCACCACATAAATATAAATAAATGAAATAAAGGTATTGTGTCCAATGACAACTAAAAAATAAATATTAAAACAAAACCAAAAAAGGCATTCTGTCCATCTGCAATTACAAAAAAAAATTTTAAATTTCATTTTTATTTTTTCAGTTGTTAATGGACCTTTATTTATTTTATTTTATATGTGGTGCTGAGAATAGAACCCAGGGCCTCACATGTGGCAGGCCAGTGCTCTACCACTGAGCCACAACCCAAGCCCCATCTTTTTAGCTTTTTGAGGAAACTCAGTATTTACTGTTCTTTACAATGGCTATACAAATTTATGTTCTCACCAGCAGCATAGGAAAGTCTCTTTGCCTCCTTGACAGATGTATTATGCTTTGTTTTTTTGACAAGAGGCATTCAGAATGCATTGAGAAGAGATCTCATTGTAATTTTCATTTGCATTCTCCTGGTGGTCTGTGATGTTTGGCATTTTAAAATATGATTTCTGGCTATTTTAATTTCTTATTTTGAGAATGTCTACTAAATTCATTTGCCCATTTTTAAACTGGATTTTTTTGGTGTTACTGCTGAGATTTTTGAGTTCCTTATATATTCTGGATATTAATCCCTTGTGAAGTGAATAGTTTGCATTTTCCCCCCATCATTTTTGCTGTCTGTTCACTCTGTTGATTGTTACATTTGCTGTGCAGAAACTTCTTATTTTTACAAAATCTCTTGGTGGATGGTGCTGGTGGCAAGACTAAGGCCAAATGAGATTTTACGTAGTGCAGAGAGGATGGGACACTTTCTGAGTCTCTAGCTGGGACTACGATCAGCCAGTCTCACCATGGCATGGGTCTACTCTCTCAAATGGTCTCTCTCTGTCTTAGGACTCACCAGAGTGTTATAACACCCTGTATGGATCCCACAGCTCCTGCAAAGGCTTTTGTCTGTAGTTGGCTGCCAAACTATTGTTGTTGGGGGCACAAAAAGGGGGACATCATATTCCATCATCTTCATAATGTACTTTAATTAGGATTTACATTTCTATTGCACTTGAATTTGTCCTAAATTAGCTTGAGATATTATACTCATTGTCATTTAGTTTTAAGAGGGAAGGAGAAATTCCATGACTAAGTAGAAACAAAATATTTTATTAACATTCAGAACATTCTACTTATTTGAATCTTGATTTCTGACTGTGATCCAGTTCAACACAAAATGAAGCCCCAGGCCATGCTAGGCAGAATCTAAGATGCCCTATGATAACAACCGCTTCTAGTAAGTGCACAAGGAGGTTTAGTTCACTGCCACCTTATGGAGTCAATGATCCAAGAGGCAGAGTGACAGAGAAACAAAGGGTGTTACTAGGAACAAGCTGGCTTTTTGCCTTCAATGATCATCTTACCCTTTTCCTTAAGAATCTTTTATATGATTTTTTCAAGGGAAGATGTGCAGGACCCAGATAGAGAGGTGCCTCAGTTTTTCAGTGTTTTGAAAAATAGCCTCTTCTGGAATGTGGGCTGTATATATCTTACCTCTTTCTTGTAGGTTGATGAGAGTTGCAGTCCAGTGGATCTAAAGGACCTAAAGCGAGCAAAGGAAAATATTGAAATGACTTGTATCTGATTTTTGTTGTGATCACTGTTTCTGTACTCTTCCACGTGTGAATTTCTCTCACAACTTGGGACTAGGGAGTATTTGGTAAGGGAGATTTGTGCATCTCTAGCTAACTTTAGTGTGTGGTTAATCTATAAAAGACTTGTGTGGTCAGTAATCTTTAAGAGCTAGAGCAGGCAAGAGCAGAAACTTGGGAGAATTGAGTCTTTTTTGGGGTTGGGGATTATGTGCACTTTTAGGCTTATTCAATATTTCCCAGTTATTCAAACAGGCATCTAGGTAGTACTGAGAAGGATTTTACAGACATACTTAAGTTTGAAATTAGTTAAATTTAAGATACAGTGAGTAACCTGGTGATCCTTCCCTAATCAGAGCAGCCCTTCATTGGACTGGCTTTGTGTAGAGCAAGGAGATTCCATGAGTGAGGGAGGCTTCCCAATGAGAAGGGAGGGTTTGAGAATGGAGTGGCCATGTGGCAAGGAATGCTGGGTACCACAGTAGCTGGGGCAGGAAATGGAGCACTGATCTCTAAAAGTGCAAGTAACAGAATTCTGCCAACAGCTGCCAACAGCTATGAGCTCTGTGGAGGACCCCATCACAGCCTGATGAAATCCTGAACATGCCTGGGCTTTTCACCTTGTGAACTGTGAGCAAATAAATTTTGAGCAAATAAAATTTGCTTTTATTTGTAAGCAAATAAAAATTTGCTTTTATTTGTGAGCAAGTAAAATTTGAAGCTACTCTGTGGTAAGTTGTTAGACGGAAACAGGAAACCAATACCAAGGCTTCATTGTGCAATTAATAAACACAAAACACTACACTAAAATGAACTTGTGAACTGTCATGTACACTGCTTGCATGAAATAACATCTTTGCTAAGAAGGATATTCTTTGAATCTGGTATCCTGGGGCTGAAAACTTAATTGCCTTTTAAAATTTATGTTAATCAGTTTCAAGAAAATACTATTATGCATATTAGTATAATATGTATGTTCACAGGTAACTAGTTAGCACTGTTAAAGGGCACTTTGAATGCACCCAATGCTTAGAACTTTGAGGAAAAATTTGAATATGCTCATTGAATTATGATGTTTAAATAATATATATTTTAATTTCTTTGGTTCTTGATGCTGAAGCTTATTGATGATTATTGCTGAGAATTTGAGATACATTTGTTTTTCATTTCTTAATTAAATTATTTTTGATACCAGGGATTGAACCTAGTGATAACAACCTCTGCTTGTAACTACACAAGATGGATTGGTTTGTTGCCACCTCATGGAGTCAATGATTCAAGAGGCAGAGTGATAGAGAAAGAAAGAGCATTATTAGGAACAAGCTGGCATTGTTAGAAGATGGTTGGCTTTTGCCTTCTACTTTCCCTAAGAGAGAGTCTTTTATATGATTTTTGAAGGGAAGACATGTAGGACCCAGACAGAAGGTGCCTCAATTTTTCAGTGTTTTGAAAAATAGCCTCTTCTGGAATGTGGGCTCCATATATCTTATCTCTTTCACATGTAATCTCTTTTATTTTGTTAACATTGCAGGCCAGTGGTTCTAAGGAAGATATAAACGTTAGCTGAAATGACTTGAATCTGATTTTTTTTGTGGTCAGTGTTTCTGGCAACTACTCTTCCAGGTGTGATTTTTTTCCCCCCATAATTTGAGATGAGGGATTGTTTGATGAGGGAGTTTTGTGCATCCCTAGCTAACTTTGGTGTGCAGTTACTCTATCAAAGATAGGCTTCTTGGGTTGTGGATGTGGCTCAAGCAGTAACATGCTCGCCTGGGTTCCATCCTCAGCACCACATAAAAAAATAAAATAAAATAAAGATGTTGTGTCCACGAAAACTGAAAAATGAATATTAAAAAATTCTCTCTCTCTCTTCTCTTTCTCTCTCTCTCAAAAAAAAAAGATAGGCTTCAGTGGGCAGGATATCTTTCCTAATGTTTGGTTTTCTATTTTTTATTTTATTATTTCATTGATGCTATTAAACTTTAATACAATCCGATTTGTCATTCTTTCATTGAACGCCTATTATCTTAGTGTCATTTGAACCAGGCATGGCTCTATATCCTGGGGATACAACTGTAATTAAAACAGCCCTAAGCCTATGTGTGGGCCTTACATTTTAGAGGTTTGTCCAGAGTGAGATGGAGCCACTGGAGCATTTTAAATGAAGAAATGGCACAACTTGACTCACATTTGCAGGATGGCTCACAGAGGTGGGAGAGTAGTCATGGGAGGTGAGTGAGGGCGCAGGGCCTGAGGAATGAGAGAGTCTGGAAAGCAGGGCTGTAGAAACAGGAGGTGAGGATGTGAAGCTGAGCAAAGAATTTTAAAGTTGTAGAATTCTCAGATTTCGGTATGTTTTATAGATTTTTAACAAATACCTAGCTATAGGGGGTGTGGGGAGGAAGCCAAATTCTGGGGATTCCCCACCTCCCGGGAACTTCACTTGCTCATCTCTCAACCTGAGTCAGGTTCTTCTGCCTGGTGACTCCTGACGTGCCCAAAGTTATTTTGTCACACTAGTGGTTTCTAGAGAAGCCAATCAGAGTCGTCGCCACGATTCCCGGTAACAAAAGCTGCATACACCCGCAGGAACTCGGATTCTCCCCGTCTATGGGGTGTGAGTCATGGAGTTCAGAACCCTGTTCTTGCTGCTTTGGGGGCCTCTAACCCTGACTCAAATCTGGGCGAGTGAGTACCGGGTCCCACGGGAAACAGCCTCTGTGGTTAGGATCTAGGGGACCGACCGCCCGGCGGGGTCGCAGATTCAGGGAAGCGGCATTTCTACCTTGTGAAGCCTGAACTTTTCCTCCATCTCGGACTCGTCCTGTCCTGACCTAATTTCCCGGTCCTTCTGCCCCCTTTTGGTCTCACGAGTCCCCGCGTCCCCTCTTCCCATCACCGGCCGATCAACCAGGGACCCCGGTCCGGAGGAGGTCGCACTGGGTCTTAGCTGCTCTCTGTCCTCAGGGTCCCACTCCCTGCGTTATTTCCACACCTCCGTGTTCCAAGCTGGCCGCGAAGAGGCTTTTTACACCTCGGTGGGCTATGTGGACGACACGCTGTTCCTGCGTTTCGACAGCGACGCCCTGAATCCGAGGGTGGAGCCGCGCGCGCAGTGGATGGAGTATGAGACACCAGCGTTTTGGGAAGCGCAAACCAAGATCGCCGAAGCCCACGAGCAGAAGTTGCGCTGGAACCTGCGCTCCACCCTCCGCTACCTCAACCAGAGCGAGGACGGTGAGTGACCCGGGACCGGGTGGCAGGGGACAAATGCCCCCACCTCTTTTGTAGGAGCTAAGGTCGACCGCGGTCTCAGAGACTGTGTCTGGTTTCCAGGCCACCAGACACCACTTGGCCTCTTGACTCAGACCCCGCGGGTATTCGCTGGGTTTCATTTTCCTTTTAGGCGGAAAAGGCCTTAGACCCACCCACCCTCCCACCCTGGCTGCTGGGTTGCGCTGGCAGAGTTAAGCACCAGATGTAAAAGCTGGAGTAAAGCCAGTCTGACTTCCGGGGCGGGGCCAGGCTCTCACACCTTCCAGTGGATTTCTGGCTGTGACCTTGGGCCAGATGGAAGCCTCCTTCGTGGATATGAGGAGTTTGCCTATGATGGTGCGGATTACATCTCCCTGAATGAGGACCTGCGCTCTTGGACCACGTGGGACAAGGCTGCTCAGATCACCCAGCGCAAATGGGAGGATTCAGGAGATGCAGAGCACTACAGGGCCTACCTGCAGGAGGAGTGCCTGGAGTGGCTCCGCAGATTCCTGGAGAAAGGGAAGGACAAGTTGCTGCACACAGGTACCAGGGGATGAGGGGAGCCCGACATAGTTTGGACAAAAATGGAATTGCTAACAGAATACCAGAGGGCCTTCCCTCCTCTCAAGACAATTAAGGCATCAAGTCTTTCTTGGAATGGGGAGGGAGAAGATCTCTGAACAAACTTAAGAGCACATTGCTTTGACCCTGACAGCAGCCTTGGGTACCACAAGGTGACTTTCTCAGGCCTTGTTCTCAGCTCCACATTCAAATTGTTTGAGGTGTGACTCCAGGTTTTGTGAGTCTCTGGGCCTCCATTCAGGTCAGAACCTGAAGTCCCTCTTAGAGATCTGGGGCATCTTTCCCTGGTCAGTCTGATTCTACAACTTTCCAAGGAAAAGGAGATTATCTCAGAAGCTTGAGTCCAGGCTGGTGCTTGGGTTTTGCTTTCCTTCCTCACTTCCATTGTCCTGTGTGTACTTAGTATGGTCACATGAGCACTGGTTCAGTGGCCATGGGAGGTAATGTAAAATGTCTTATTAAAAAATATTTTTAGTTGTAGATGGACACAATACTTTTATTTTATTTATTTATTTTTTATGTGGTGCTGAGGATCGAACCTAGTGCATCCCATGTGTTAGGCAAGCACTCTACCAGTGAGCTACAGCCCCAGCCCCAACATGTCTTATTTTTCTAATTCTTCCCTTCAGAGTCTCCAAAGACACATGTGACCTATCACTTCAGTCCTGAAGGAGATGTCACCCTGAGGTGCTGGGCCTTGGGCTTCTACCCTAAGGAGATCACCCTGACCTGGCAGAGGGATGGAGAGGACCAGATTCAGAACATGGAGCTTGTGGAGACCAGGCCTGCAGGGGATGGAACCTTTCAGAAGTGGGCAGCTGTGGTGGTGCCTGCTGGGGAAGAGCAGAGATACACATGCCATGTGCAACATGAGGGGCTGCCTGAGCCCCGCACTGTGAGATGGGGTAAGGAGGGGTTGAGGGCACAGAGCCTGTTGGCAGGAAAAGCAGGAGCCCTTCTGAAAATCCTCAGTAGGGTCAGGGCTGAGAGCTAGGGGTCAGGGTCCCTCACCTACCTTCCTTCCCTTCCCAGAGTCACCTGCACTGTCCATCATCCCTGTCATGGGAATTGTTGCTGGCCTGGTTCTTTTTGTAGTTGTGGTCACTGGAGCTGCGGTGGCTGTTATGAGGTGGTGGCGGAATGCAGGTAGGGAAGTCAAGGGTTCTGGGTGTACCTGGTCTAGGCCCCTGGTAGAAGTGAGCTCTGCCTCATTAATGGGAAGCACCATCCATACACACTTGCTGATACTCACTCTATTGTAAAGCACAAGGAAAATAAAGGACAAAATGATCACCATTATGATTGTCATGATGGGGACCTGATCCCAGCATTCAGAGGGCAAAGGGGTAGGTAGGTCCCTGCTGGATACAGACCTCCAGGAGAGTGATTGGTTAAGTGCCTGGGCATCTCCTATCCTCATGCCTCTTGATCCTTTCTAAGGTTTCCAATTACAGTTCAGGAACCTTCCCTGGGATCCAGGCCTAGGGGATTCCTCAAGCCCTCATAGCTCTGCCTCCTCCCTGGCACACACAGGTTGTTTTCTTCTCATAGGTAGAAAAGAAGAGAGCTATTCCATAACTGTTCAGAGAGTGTTGTCCCTGAGACCCTTGGAATAGTGTAGATGGGAAAACAAGGAGGGTCCCTCATCTGCCCCATAATTTATTCATTCTTCACATACCTTTTGGATTTTGACTCTGTCTTGTTGTTTTTCTGACCCAGGCAATGACAGTGCCCATCACTCCAATACTTTTCTAGCCCCATAAAGGTGAGACTCTGGAGGGCTTAAAATGGTAGAAGGTGTGATAGAGGGGAATGGAGAAGGTTGTGGGAATTCTCTTGGATCTTTGGGTGAGTTCTGGGTTCTTCAGAATGTTGTCCCTTTGAGCAACTGCCCTGATTTTGTTCATGACGCTTTTCTTCTGTAGCAGAGACAGCTGCCTTGTGTGGGACTGAGCAACACAAGATTTGTTCAAGCATTTGTGACTAGAAGAACTCTGGAGTCCCTTTCTGTCATGGGTTATTAAGCCATCCACATTCCTATTGGCATAATGTGCAGAAGTGAGACCAGTGCACAGGACCCCTGTCCTGCACCATCCCTTGCCCACTCACCTTTCCTGTTCTAGCAGAGGTGATGCTGGGATGACTCCATCCCTCTCTCAACATCACTGTGCACTGAGCCACAACTTCTTACTTCCATCCTGAATATAAGAATCAGAATATAAATATTTTTCAAAATCTTGACCCAGTGGATTGATTGGTTAATAAACAGAGAAAATTCCAAATTAGAGAGAGAAAATAAATGGAAACACTGAGAACCTTCTAGAACCTGTTTTCATTGTCCTGAGTCAGCTACAGCTGAAGACAGAAGAAGGCTGTGAGGAACCCAGTGTGGACAGGGCTGTGTCCAGTTAGTGCTCAGGCCATGCTGGGCTTTCATGTGGTCCCTCTTTAGCTTGGTCATCTTCTGTATTCCCTTGTCCTTGTCACTCGGGAGAACCTTGCCCACCAGGACTTGTGATCACTGGGACACAGACATCACCAGAGCCTTTTGCTGTCAGTCAGACCCTAGGCATCAATGGCTTCCTGTGGCCAGATCAGGCTGTCCCCCTTCATCCTTTGTATTTCCTGTCCCTTAGTTTCTATGGAGGATTATGTATATGCTTGTTCTCCCTCCTCCTGAGGTAGCTGGCTTGATGAGGGGTGCCGTAGCCCTTTGAAGACTCCATGACAGTGGCAGCTACATGGAGACACCTTGCAGGCTGGGGCCAGGTTCCTCAGGAGGCTGCACGTGCTCTGAACTAGTGTCTGACATGTGGCACTGTTTCCCCCACAGCCAGGATTCATGGGTCCAGGAATCAAGAAATGGGAATGGGTGTGGCAACTCTTACTATGGCCCCCAGTGACTCACTAGCAATGTATGGGCTTCCTCTCCCCATGACCTTATGCCCTGCTGGCCTGGAGATCTTAGTTTCATAGAAGAAATGCTTCCATCAAGAGACAACAATGAGTTCACTGAATTGGAAAGGACAACTGTCACTGGCCATGTTGGGCTCTTCTTGCTTTGAGTCAAGAACCCAAGAGTGGAGTTAGCTGGTGGGCCTGAGTGATGGATCCTGGCAGCCAGGGGGACATGGGACAACTGCTCCCCAGGGAGGGAAGGAAGGGAATGTCTGGAATACAGGATTCCCTTAGGGTGCCTCTTAGTGTTACATCCCCTGAGATTAATGTCCATGGGAAACTACATCAGCCCAACCCAGGCAGGACTAAGAGTGGCCAGGACCCTTCAGGAATGAAGGTTGGCATCACCACAGCAGGAGAAATGCCACAGGCAGCTGAACTACTTGCTGAATTGAAGGGAATACGGAATGGGAGGTGGAAGAAGATAATTATGAGTACCAGCAGCAACACATGACCATTTTCAGAGGAGAGGACTGTAATTTTCATTTGCATATCTTCTTTATTTTATTATGAATATGTTTGTGGTATGTATTTATTAATCAAATATACTTATTTTCTTGAATCTCACCCTTTTATATGTAACATAAATAATTTTTACTGTTTATCATAGTATTAAGCATTGTTAAGTGTATGTCTTAGTGTTTTGCATTTTGGGATGTCTATCAAGGGGAGGAGGAGAGGACATCATGGGTGTAGTTCAGTTGTAAGCAGAGAGTCTTATCATATTAGGTGGAAGTATAACTTGTTATTCTCTTTATTTAGATGTATATTGTGATTTAGGGAGATGCTTCTGTGTGCCAAATTGATGACGGGGGAACTGGTGATAGTTAATTTATTTGTCAAATTGGTTAGGGCCACGATACTCAGTTATTTGTCAAACATGTCTGGATGTTGTAAAGGCATTTTGAGATGAAATCCACATTTAAGTCAGTAGTCTTTGAGTAAAGCAGGACACCCTTCAAAATGTGGTTGGGCTTCAGTTAATCAATAGAAGACCTTAAGAAAAAGATTGGCCTCCCCCAAAGAAGATGTATTTTCTCATCATTGTTTTTGGACTGAAGTGTAACATCAGCTCTTCCTGAGCTTCCATCCTGCTAGTCTACCTTGAATATTTTCAAGTCATTGCCTCCAAAATTGCATATGACAATTTCTTAAAGGATCTCCTTAAACAGATAGACAGAAATACATGTAGATACACAACTTGTTAGTTGTGATTCTCTGTAGAACCCTGACTACTACAAGCACAGTTTCCAATGTTCTAACTACTAGAAATGAGTGATAAAGAAAAGAAAAGGCAATTTCACAGTTATGGTTTGGATCTGAAACCGTGTACTGGAAACGTGATATCCAATATAGTAATGTTCAGAGGTGAAATGATTAAATTACGAAATGATTAAATTATTAAATTATTACATAACCTCAACAGTGGATAAATCCATTGGGTGAATTAATAATTTGAATGAATCACTGGGTAGTGCTTGACTAGAGAAAGTAGGCCAGTGGTGGTGTGCCCTTGGGGATTACATTTTGTCCCTGGCTCCTCACTCTCTGCTTTCTGGCTGCCACAAGGGGAGAAGTTTTCCTTTGTCATATTCTTCCTTGTGATGTTTCTGCCCTGGAGCCATGCACTCAACCACTGAAACTTCAGTTTTGGTGTTGCTTTGGGAGATTTCATTGAAAAAAAGTCAGCTACCTTCCAGCTGTTAGACCCTTTGTAAACTATGGACAGATGACATCCAAGCAGAATCTGTTTTTGCCTGAGCGATAATGTTGTGGTTTCAATGGGATATAGATTTCTAGTCCACCCAGAAACCAGGAAAACTGGAATTAAATGTAGCAATATCTTCTCAGCAAGCAATCTGAAGAAATTTTATTTGCCTATGTACTGGGAATGATTTTATTAGTTCTTTCTTTTTTTTAAAAACATTTATTCTTTAGTTGTAGGTGGACACAATATCCTTATTTAATTTTTATATGGTGCTGAGGATCAAACTCAGAGCCTCACTCATGCTAAGTGAGTGCTTTTCCTCTGAGCCACAATCCCAGCCCTTATTTAGTATTTTCTTGTATGGCCTTGTGGCCTAATACAAATAAACCGTCTTTCCAGGGAAGGATGATGTGCTCAAGGCTTGGAATATTTTATTGTAAGATATTCCTTTATTATTATTATTTTAACATTTGCAATATACATACTTGTTTACAAAATATCTCTGATGGCTTTATGTATATATGTATCTATTATTTTTGACTGGCAAAATAAAAACTTTAACAAACACTAAAATAAATCTGTTGCTGTGTACCATATGATAGATGAGAGAATGAAGAGTTGAAACAAAACCTTCTAACAATCTTCTCTGTATAGCAGGACTATTCAACCCATTTTCTACCAAATTACATCAAAACTATCATTTACCCAATTTTTCACTAATCTTCATGCTAGGGGTTCTTTTTTTCCCCAACAATATAAATAATTAATTTAAATATAAATGATACAGATGTTGTAATGAAAAGTAATAATTTTTAACCTGGTAAAAGCAAACAATAACTATATGCTTTATACATATGTCATCCTTTAAATATTGATACACCAATAGGTTAAAAGCACAAGAAATCTGAAGTAGAGCTATTAATATAAAATAAATGTCAAGAAAAAGTATTTTCAGAGATAAAGGGGGACATTTCATAATCATAATAAGGTGACTTCTTCAAGAAAGTATAACAATCCTAAACATGTATGTACCTAATAACAAAATTCCAAAACACATGAAGTAGAAATTAATAAAACTATAAAGACAAATCCACAATCATATTTGGAGGTTTTAAGCCCCCTCACTTTGCTGGAAGGAATAATAATATAGAAGGCTTAACAACATTATCAGCTACCTTGACCTATTTGTTACTTATAGAGAACCACACACACAAAAATGACAAGTAGAAAATTAATAGGGATAGACTATATTCTGTCATAAAATAAATTTTGAGAAATTTAAAAAATTTGAAATCATGATTGTATTATTCACCATTAAAGTGAATTCTCAATAAAAAATGTTCCTTTTCAATAAGTTGCAACATCATTGAGAGTGGTGTATGGTAGGCGATGACATAGACCCAGGACTTCAGTGCAATCACAATATTCCTTTAAATGATAACTATCTTTGTTTTTCTTAGGAAGTTTCAAATTTACTTGTTAAGCATGCCAATTTTTATACTCAAGTGTCATCTTAAAAAATACACACAGATTGCTTTTCAGTTAGAAAACTGTGAATTGTCCCACTATTGTCATGTATTTAAAAAATAATAAAATCAATTAAAAAAGAAAACTGTGAATTGTCTAAAGTGTTTACTTCAGTCTATCATTATGACAATTTTGGTAGTCAGAAATTGTTAGCTTGCATCCAGAAACTAATGTTTTTTTTTTTTTTTTTTTTTTTAAACTGGCTATTTGGTTGGCTTCCTATAATGAATTAAATGTCCTTCACAATGTTTTTTTTTTAAATTTTTTATTGTTGGTTGTTCAAAACATTACAAATTTCTTGATATCCTTCACAATGTTTTTGAATGAAATATGGTAGAGGCTATTTGGACACCAGTATAATTCTAAAACAAAAACCCCATTAGGATGTGCTTCTAATGTTTTATAAAGTAATTCTATACAGTGGTGGCTTTATTCCAACGTGAATAATTCTTGCTAACAATTCTTGCAGTAAACTTTGTTGCTTTGTTATCTTTCATGGAAAAAAATTAATCAGGAATTGTTCACAAATTGTAGTTTGAAAATGCCAGTTTAAGGAGATGAGATCAAGTAAATACCTGGGTGCTAACCACAGGCACAAGAAACAGAAACTATGAAGTCTCCTGAGCTGCTGCCTTGTCTCATCCCCCAAATAGAAACTCCATCCTGAATCTTGGGTTAACTGTTCCTTTCCATTTCTTTAAAGAATTTTACAATAATTGTATCATCCCCAATTAAATGTTAATTCATTCTGCCTGTTTATAACCTTCCTGCTGCATGTGTGTTTCTGTGATGCACATAACATGTAGAAGCCTTATCCCTCCTGTGCAAGGCTGTCCTTCATTTACTTTAATGCAGAAGTTTTACTTTTGATGATTATACCACCATGTGGTACTTTCCTGTGGATGTAAAAGTGGTTGATTCCACTCTGCCATAAACATTAGTGCACATGTCTCCTGTACACACAGGCAAGAAAGATCTCAAGCATAAAATCAGGAATAGGGGGCTGGGGTGTTGCTCAGTGGTAGAGCATTCAACTAGCATGTGTGAGGCACTGGGTACAATCCTCAGCACCACATAAAAATAAATAAATAAAATAAAATAAAGTCATTGTGTCCATCTACA